GACGTTGCTCACAATCTCGTGGCACAAAGGATTAGGCTTGTGCTCCTGCTATATGTTATGACACACTGCCATGTTCAATGGCGCTCTGAACTGAGACGCCGAAAGGCCAAAGGGCCGGCAGATAAACTAGCGCAATCCCCCAAATGGCCTGAGATGAGCGTAAGGGGAAGGAAAATATTTGTTCCCCGGACAGAATCCCTAACTGTGAGAGAACCTCAGAACAGTGAATTCTGGCCAGGCTTGGCGGGGGTGAGAGCAGGGCAAGCTTGCCTGCAGCTGACAGATCTGCAGTGGTATTGCATGGGAACTGTTGGTAGGTCACAACAGCACAGTGAGGAGCAGCTGTAGGCACGGAGGCTGAGCACACACCCTTGACAAGCAGTGATAGGTGCACTCATGTTGCCTAATTTCAAAACCCTCTCAAACACGGTGGGTTCAAAAGTTCGACCTGAACTTGAATGATATTGGGTTCCTGTCCTCCGCCTGCCGGGGAGAGAATGGGAAAAAGGAGCCAGGGAGGAGAGAGAAAAAGAAAGAGGTTTTCTTTTCAGATGTGTGGGCTGCACCTACTGTGACTGCACTCTTTCGGTTTTGTTTTGAAGTTTTTATTTAATAAACATGAACAGATTAAAAAATCCAACGAAAAAGAAAGGGAAAGCAATTACCTGATGCCTTTGTGTTTCAAAGACTGTGGTTTTTTGGTGGAATTATAGAATATCAGGGTCGGAAGGGACCTCAGGAGGTCATCTAGTCCAACCCCCTGCTCAAAGCAGGACCAATCCCCAGACAGATTTTTGCCCCAAATCCCTAAAGGACTCCCTCAAGGATTGAACTCATAACCCTGAGTTTAGCAGGCCAATGCTCAAACCACTGAACTATCCCTCCCCCCTAGTTTAGGTGTGACAGACAGAGGGGGTGTCTGCGGATAGATAGCTAGATAGATAGAGGGGGTATCTGGGGATAGATAGATAGATGGGGTGTCTGGGGATAGATAGAAAGAGGTGGTGTCTGGGGATGGATAGATAGATAGATAGTGTGTATGGGGATAGATAGATAGATAGATAGAGGGGGTGTCTGGGGATAGATAGATAGAAAGAGGGAGTGTCTGGGGATGGATAGATAGATAGTGTGTATGGGGATAGCTAGATAGATAGATAGATGGTGTGTATGGGGATAGATAGATAGATAGAGGGGGGGTATGGGGATAGATAGATAGATGGGGGGGTATAGGGATAGATAGATAGAGGGAGTGTCTGGGGATAGATAGATAGATAGATAGATAGGCTTCATGATTTGTAATTTACATTGATTCTGACACTCCGGACCATATGTGTCTAAAGATAGCGGTTGTTCTCTGTTTTGCTATTTTCATGCAAGGAAGGCAGTGGGTCAAATTCTGCCAGATGTTACAATGGTATAAACCCACAATGGAATTGTTCAGAGTTTACAGAAGAGTAACTGAGAGCTGAATTGGGTCACAAAGTGCTATATATGCTGTGCTGCTAAATAAATAAATAATAATAAATGTTCCTGGACATTTTTGTGCCAGACTTATATTGTAAACCAGAGGCTGGTGAAAGCTGGGTGGGGAGATGTTGTTTGGGGCATAGAACCGGAGTGCCAATATCAGATATTTCAGAGGAGGGTGCAAGTTATCTCTTAATGGACAATGATAGAATAAGCCGCTGAACACTGAAAGTTTCTTCCTAACCTCGGCAGTTGGTTTCTAGCATGAGGGTTTGTGTCCTTCATACGTTTTTATCCAGTCTAATATAACCGTAGATGTTCTCATTATCCATATAAGTGTCTAATCCTCTTTTGAGTCCTGCTAAGCTCTTGGCCTCAATAATACCTCGTGGCAATGACTAAAGTTTTGGAATTTGCACAGAGCCTGAGACAGGTACAGAGAGGAAGTTGGAATCAATACACACAATAAAATAAATCAATCCTATTTTGGGAATGCTTGGATCCAGCTTGTTCTCTGGGCCCATCTCAAGCTGGGACAAGAAGCACTGAAACAATAGGCTAGGATTTGACCCATTGAGATCTCTGGAGAAACGTCTGATTGACTTCAATGAGAGCAGAGTTAGGCAAAGGCTGATTGGTAATATGCTGCAATTTCCATAGCAAAGAGGTCCACAGAGCACAGATAGTGTTCAAAGTTTTTCCAAATCGTATTGTTTGCATGTCGCTCCTCACTAGCTGCGTTTGGCCAGCCTGGGAGCGATTTTGGTTTCTGCAATATCTCCAGCCGAAAATATTTTCATCTTTTAAATAGGGCTGGTGGGAAAACAAGAAGTCAGTTTCGTGAAAAATGTGCAGGTTTTGGAATGTGATTTCTTTCCCCATTGGAATGAAACTGAGACCTTTTGAAATATTTTAGTAAAAAAGAAACAAACAACCAAAAAATAACTCTCTCTCGCTCACTGTCCCCTGATTTGACCAGAAATTCCATCCTGGAGCTGAGAAATACATCCCAATGAAAGTTTCATGGACACTGATATGTTTCTGTGAAACATTTCAGTTTTGATAAATGGGCATTTTCTGACACAACACGTTTTGTCGAAAAATTCCTGACCAGATCTAGCTTTAAGCTTCGGATTTTGTGAAACTTGGTTGAGTTCCAGAAAACTATTTTCCCTTCATGTAAGCCCTGGGTTTTCCCAGGTAAAATAAATTAGAAATCTATTTCTCTAAGTAGCCAGAGGCCTGGGCTAGGCAAGCAGTAAAGATTCTGATTTGAAAGGAATTCTTATCAGGGAATAAAACAATATTAATAAAAACCCTCCATGAAGCAGTTCTGCCAGGGTTGATCACAAGGGCCTGATCCTAAAAACCTTCCTTGTTAGTCCAGTTGGACTAACATGGGGAATGGTGGTAGGATTGGACCCCTTAGTATTAATAACTCAAAAGGCCTAATCAAATCATTAGTCCAATTACTGAAGTTAAACGAAGGTGAATTTCACCCAGTACTACTAGGAATCGTAACTAAAAGTGAGTGGCATGCGCTGCCTCAGATCTTAGGTGTTTGTGAAAACATTCCCTTTGCCTGGATTCACATACCTGGAGCTTCAGTTTGAGGGTTTGAATAAGCCCCCAAACTTACACAAAATTGGACAGATGCCACCAACTTTTCCCCAGTCTCACATGAAAACCATAACCAAGCGTGAAGACCTTTAGAACCTTTCCTGGGGCTTGGGCTGAGACTGGAGTTGGGAACGAGATCTGGAGGCAGACAGATTTCATGTACGTGCGTACAGAAAGGTTTCCACTGCTCCAAAGACAACAGTGACGGGACTACATAAATGCACAGACTAGCTAAACTGAGCAGTTAGATAGATAGATCACCTCAGCAAACTATTTCAAAATGACATTTTTTTTTGAAATGTAGCTAAATTCAAGAAAGCCAAAAAACAACAACAAAAAGGGTGTGTGTGTGTGTGTGTGTGTGTGTGTGTGTGTGTGTGTGATAGAAAAACCAGAAAAAGGAACAAAATGAAGCCTCAAACGTTTTCATTTGACCCCAAATAAAAACATTTTTTGGATTTTTCAGTTCAGCCACCGAACTGAAATAACTGATTATCTGCTCAGCTCTGCTTCTATCACCTAAGACTTCTCCTCCCTCCAGCACATCAGTAAAGTTCCCTGCAAGGATAAGCTCATCTAGTCCAAGGGGATTGAACTCACAACCCTGGGAGTGCTTTTTGCGTCGCATGAGGCAAGCTCATTGGCTGAAGTACTGACTCAGTGTTCAACTTTCTAACGGGCTAGATTAATCGCCACACACTCCAGGGTAAAACATTCCTACACCAGCTGGTGGTTAGCGTTAATTAGTAACATTTATTTAAATCATTTTTTTATTGTGTATAAAATGGCAAGAAATGCCGTCCCATCAAATATGCAGTTTAAAGAGGGATGGATGGTTATGGTGAGATAACCGCACCTCAGAGAAATCTAGGTGCACAGGTGGGCCTCGTGAGATGTTGCTGCATCCTTGGCTTGGATGTGCCTAATAAAACACCACCTCACAACTGGCGCCCTTTGTGTCAGCCATAGCAAACAGGCCACATGCTGAATGCCTATGGAAACTGGTCTAATGCCTCAACCTTAGAGGAGGTCTCTCCAGTGCAGGGTTTAGCCATATTTGTGGTGTGGAGCTGGACCTGTTCTGTGGATACAGAAAGGATTTCAGTCTCCAGGGCTGTTAAGTGAGTTGAGCAGGGATACGGCTAGTGGGTCAGTGAACGGCACTGATCCACCAAGTGAAAGGCCTCGTGTAGGTCACTGCTACAGCACATGGGTTGCAACCAGGACCGACGAGAGCTGGGGGGGGAAGCCCGTACAAATTACCGGGGCCCGGCGGTCCGGAAGGGGGCCCGGCTTCCCTGGCTTCCCCCACCTCTCGTCGGCCCTGTTTAGATGGTCCGCCCTTGCTGGGGGGCCCCGAAATAATTTTTTCACCGGGGCCCGAACCCGCTTTCGGCGGCCCTGGTTGCAACACGAGATGGACAGGGCAGACTAGCTGAATGCCAATCCCATCCCATCCCATCAAGACAGACTCCCATAGTGTCCTCCTTCCACAGTCACTCTTCTGCCCATAACCGAATTCAGGGAGGAGATCCGGAAGTGTGGGCAGTAAGAGACGTAGCTGATGACCGTCAGCTGAGCTAGGCTCAGCACAGCTCCTACAAGATCATCCAGGAACAAGCACCCTTTTGGTACACCTGGGAGAACGACCACACATGCACCATGTTGGTTTCAGCTTGACCTGGCCGCACGTATGTGCAGGGTGGACACATGTGCCTGGGGCCGGCTTACCAGGTGAGATCTCCTGACCTTAGTGTCCAGCTACAAGGTAGCTCCCATGGCAGAGAGAAACACACTGGAGCAGGATATTGTCGCTCAGAGAGAGAGGACGTATCAGATAAAGTTCTCAGGACTGGACCGTCTTAATAGGACGGAAGCCAACTGGGTCTGAGAATCGGGATGGTTTGGCTTACCTGGGTAAGGATGGATGCCATTAGCGAACACAGCTTCTGCGGTGGGCTGCCCATTAGCCTGCGGTGGGAGGCCTGTGAAACCATTCACCCCAATTGGGGATGGGATGCTAGGCACAGCTGGTGCAGTGATGCCAGGAGGTGTGCTCCCACCTACAGGAAGGAAGTAAACAGAAGGGGGAAAAAACAGCTTTAGGATGATGAATTCCACAGGTGGTGATTACACACAGCAAACGCGGATACTACGGTGATGAACACCAGCGGGACGCCTATAGATAACAAAATGAATAAAGGTCAAAATCATCTCACAATGCAATGGACAGTTTGCACCATCACGGGTAAGACTGTGCAACAGTTGCTCATGTTGGGAAGCGCATAAGATGAGAAAGGTTTGCCCGAGCTTGTTTAACCCCAGGAGTGGGCTTTTCCTCCAGTGATCACAACCTTTAAACTAGATCCTCAGCTGGTGTCAACTGGCATAGCTCCAATGATGCTAAGGCCTGGCCTAATTTATTGGCAAACTATCAAGGCATTTTTTTTTCTAACCATTGTTTGGCCTCAGAGGAGAATTCTGAGTCCCACCTTCATAGAGCATCTCATGTCATTTTGGTTTTAGTCTTGGAGATGTCAGCCTTCTGATCTTATTGAATCCAATGACTGGCCTACTGGCATGGCTATCACATGGCCTGCCTCTGAACTAGTAGGCTCTCCAGTTTCAGAATACACTGAGTAGATGGCTAGTCCAAGAAGGAAAAAAGAACAGCTACAGTTTGTAGCATCATAACAGTTACCCCCACAAGGACAGCATATCATTGGTGCAGTTTCACCCAACCCTGCCATGCACCTTGCAGTTCTGGCTGCACTGAGAGAGGCAGACAGACCAATGGCTAAATTCAGGGGTGAGTCTTGCGTGCTGCCTACATTAGAGAAATAGATGTACCAGTGATGAGCCCAATGTGGCTATGCGGCACCTATGTAAAACAAATTCAACACTGCTAAGATTTAATCTCGTAATTTAACAGAATAAAATGCATGGTTCTCATCTCTTCTTGACATCAGTGCATCAGTGTATTTGCACCAGATTAAGTGTTGCTAATGGAGACAGGACCTAAGGAAGTCTAGGAGGAGTTTAAATTTCAGCAGCCCCCCGCAACATGTAAATTACACCAGCAGACGCCTTCCAGACTTAGCGAGACTCACACCCACTTAATGTGACCAGGTGGGTGAAGTAATATCTTTTAACTCTGAAAAAGAGCTCTGTGTGGCTTGAATGCTTGTCTCGCTCTCTGCCATGTACATTGGCCAAACCAGACAGTCTCTACGCAATAGAATAAATGGACACAAATCTGACATCAGGAATCATAACATTCAAAATCCAGTAGGAGAACACTTCAACCTCTCTGGTCACTCAATAACAGACCTAAAAGTGGCAATTCTTCAACAACAAAAAATTCAGAACCAGACTCCAACATGAAGCTGCAGAACTGGAATTAATTTGCAAATTGGATACCATCAGATTAGGGCTGAATAAAGACTGGGCATGGTTGGGTCATTACAAAACCTAAACTTAATTTCCCCAATACTAATTTCTCTCTACTGTTACTCAGACCTTCTTGTCAACTGTCTGTAATAGGCCACTCTCTTACCACTTCAAAAGTTATTTTTCCTCCCTTGGTAGCCTGCTGTTAATTGATTTATCTCGTTAGACAGACCTCACACTTGGTAAAGCAACCCCCATCCTTTCATGTATTTATACCTGCTCCTGTATTTTTCACTTCATGCATCTGATGACGTGGGTTCTAGCCCACGAAAGCTTATGCCCAAATAAATGTGTTAGTCTCTAAGGTGCCACAAGGACTCCTCGTTTTCATCAACAGAAGTTGGTCCAATAAAAGATGTTCCCTCACCCACCTTGTCTCTCTACTATCCTGGGACTGACATGGCTACTGCTATACTGCATACCTACTTAATGTGTCATTCACCCCTCCCTTTGTATAGATTCCAAGGCCAGAAGGGACTATTAGATTATCACGTCTGACCTCCAGTATAGCACATGCCAGAGAACTTCCCCAAACTACTTCCTTTTGAACTAGAGCATATATTTTTTTATTAAATATATTATATCTGAATTAGGCCATTGACTCTAATGGTATGTAAGAGGCTTTAACTCATGCACCACATGTAATTTGCACCAGTGTAGACATTCTTACACAGCAGTAGGTGGGAATAAGTAGGGCTAACACAGTGTAATTGAGTCTAGTTCCCTCTGCCTCAGTCATCACGTCTGAATTTATTATCATGGTATTTTATTAAGGCAATGCTTAGAGGGCTCATCTGAGACCAGGGCCCAGTGGTGCTGATCACTGCATAGACACATAGTAAGAAGACCCGAAGATTTTACAAAATAAATAGACAAAGGGTGAGAGGGGAAACTGAGGCACAGAGCGACGACACGACTTGCCCACGGTCATGCAGCAGAGACAGGAACAGCACTCATCTCCCCAGAGCTGCAATGCAGTGCCGTAATCACTAGAGAACCCTGCCTCTGGGAAGCTGATCTCCTAGCTAAAGCGATAACCATCCACCCAGCAGCCATACTCTGACAGAGGCTCCTTGCATGTTCTCAGGAGACCTTAGGTACAATTCCACCACCAAAATGCGGTGAAAGTTGGGGGTGCGCTCCCTGCTTCTGACAGAGACACCCTCTATCGCACCCCTGCCAGAGGTGGCTCATCACAAATATTTCTGAAAATCAATTTTCTTTTTGCTTTTGGAAGGGATCAGCTTGTCCGGGTGGCAGGTATTTTCAAAATATTTCCCGGGGCAAGAGTGATTGGTTAATCAGTTAGCTGGCTGGCTAGCAGTGATTTCAGCAGAGGAAGAGTCTGCATGAATTTCAACTGAAGATTCTTACAAGCAAGTGGAGGGAAGATGTTGTTTTAGACTCAGCAGACTGCATAGATTTGGTGATCAAAGACTCTAACTGAGATGACAAAATCTAAGCTTTTGGGAACTCTCCATTTCTCTTACTGTACTTCTGTGGGGACTGAACTGTTGAGATTTTAATTTGTTTCCTTTAATTATGTTTATAACTGTGAAGGTAATGTCTGTGGGTTATAAAATAGTCATGTCATGCTGTAAAAATTAGATTATTTGTTTCTTTATCATAAGATTTTATAAAGTTATTTAATTAAATTCATGTCTTTAGTTCCTTCTGGGACTTGAATGTGGGGAGGCTGACCCTGTGCCATCCTTGCTGAAAATCCATAGAGACTGAACTCTGGGTTTCCAGTGACTTTCTATGGGAGTTGGGTTTTTTTTTTAAGGCACTGGAGATGGGAAACAAAAGTGAACTCTAGCCCACCCAAATGTTACACAGGCACTCCGCTTTCACTATATCATAGTGGATGCTATTTCAGAGCCTTCCTGCTGCCCAGAACAGACATGTTGCTTCTTCCCCTTTGCTTCAGATGTCGCTGGCCTGAAGAAATTCCCTCTATGCAGTATGCGGGGCCCAGGGAACAAGAGGTGACATCCGGAGGTTCAAGGGCAGTACTCTTTGCACACATCATCAGTCTGAATGTCACAGAGCCTAGTTAGCATGTCAGTCGCTTTTCCTGATCTCTCCTCTATTTGCATAGGAAATGTGATTTCTTTACTTAAAATTGCAGTGAGGATTTTTTTTTTTGTTGAGGTTTATTCCCCTCAATTCTTTAATTTTCCTTTGCATAAACCCAGTGGGGCCGGATCCCGAGTTGGAGTAAGTCAGTGTAGCGCCGCTGAAGTGAGTGGAAGGAAACCACTTCACACCAGTGGAGGATTTGGTCCTATATTTGGAAATATTTTAATGTGATTATACAGATGATGTGAGAGACGCAAAACTCACATAGAGCAAACAGTAGAAAGGTTGGGGGCGCGGGAGGCGAGGAGGAATAAATGGCAAATTCTGTCCAGCAGGGTGATCAAGGTGTGGACTGTAAGTCCAAGGCTACTAGGATCAAGACGGAGCACTGCTATCTAGTTATCTACCATGCTAGTGTAACACTGACAGACCCCAGTTGTCAGTGGGGGAGACTGAACCTAGGATCTCTAGAGCTAAATGCTTGAGCCTCTACTGCATGAGCTAAAAGCCACATGGCTGTTAGCTCAGGCTGTAGCAGACTCATTAATCTCTCTCTAAGTGATCTTGGTGCCACTCGAGGGGCCAGAGCACCAGACCCAGGAGGTGCGTGGGTTACAGTAGCCACATTAGCAATACCATTGACAGACAGAAAACTAGATGGAGGAGCACATATGGCAGTAGATGGATAGATGTACGTCTCTGTTTTCCCTCCCAGCCTTTGCCTGTCTTGCCTATTCAGACAGCAACCTGTGTGGGGTCGGGACTAGGTGTCTACACAGCGCCTAGAACAATGGGACCTTGAGCTCAGTTGGGAAGTCTAAGGGCTACCATAATGCAGATAATAAATGATGATAATTAGAGCTGGTTGGAAATGTTCTGGCTGCCACCCCCACCATCTCCTGGGACCCCCGTCCTTCTTCATCCTAATCCTCAAAATGGACCTGACCAGACCAGGACAGAGAGAGGGACCCAGATGGCATCACCACCTCCACTGGCTCCAGCTGATTCTCGAATACCACCTGGTACGTGAGACTTTCTCATCCCCACTTCTCATGTGTCGTTTTCCTTATTTCTTCTCTTTCCTAGCCTCCTTTTGCCCTCTCGCTAATCAGAATCAGGCTTAGCTGGTCAAGACTGTAGATTTTGCAACTGCTGTAAGCCTTGTGACCAGAAAGAGGAAGTTAAATGCAATGCCCTAAGCCTGCTGCTGGTACAAGTTTGCCAGGACTCTGAGTGGCTGATAAGACCATGTGGGGTGCCAGTGTTTTCCAGCAGTGAGGTTGCAAATGAAAGCCAACACCAGAGACAGAAGGTGCATTGTCTGTCTTTGCTGTTCTCTTCTTTCCCCTTTTGTGTGCGTTTGTCTTGCTTTGTCTTCTTGGAAACGGGATTGAACAGCGGCAGTTACAGCATAGCTCCAGCCCATCTCAACTAACTTTTTCTCTTTTTGCCAAAAAGGATAGGTATTATCCTCTAAGAGATGAGACAGACAAGGTGGGAGAGGTGATATCTTTTATTGGACCAACTTCTG